GGTGGGAGGGAGTTGTTATACCTGTAATCGTTTATGGAAAAGAAAGGTGTTATAGGTGAAAACTGAAAATGTAAACTCCAACAGGATGCAAACAAGGACAATTGTGGGGCATGGTGGTGAACCACAAAAACAATAGCAGCAACAGCTGCAGCAACAATAACAACAACAACAACAACAACAACAACAGCAACAACAACAACAACAGCAGCTCTTTAATAGTAACGGCAACTTTGACGGTGACAATGTTGATGATTATGAAAATGTCTCTTTACGTCTTCTGCTACGGGGGAATGAAGGGTGAGTAGTATGATAATCGATCCGTTTTTTTGTTCTTTTTGGTAAGTGTTTTACGGTGCTCGCAACTGCATGAAGTCATATGAGCGCGCGGACACACTAAACATTTTCAATTGGTAGGAAATTTTGAATTTTGCTCGGGTGGCGGCTGAAGCCTACTCTTATCGATTTTAGATCACCCAGGGATTTTTAACGGGCACAACTTGCACACGGGACCTCTGAGATTTTTTTACCTTGTCCGAGAAGGCTAGGTGTAGATCATTCCTACCAGAAGATCAGGGGTGTGGCTAAAAGACAATAGTAAGGAGTTAAGGAGTAGTAGTAGAAAGGCTGCAGAAAGAGTCAGAAGCCCAGAGGAGGGGGCAAAGGAGGTGAGAGGGTGGGGGCAGAAGGTGGAGACGAAAGCAGACGACGGAACATTGCTAGAGAGCATGAAAGCAGGTGAAAGGAGACCAGTTTAGAAAAGACAATTTTTTCCGTCGCTACCCGGATTCGAACCCGGGACGTTTGAATGAGAGGCCAACACCTTCATTTCTAGGCCACGATCACTTTAATGCCGCATTCACTTCAATCTGTCTGCCCGTCGTTGTTGTCCTGCTGTTATTACTTGTGTTTCTCTTTGCTGCTGCTGCGGTTGGTGGATGATTTTACCACGTATTCTAAAATGTATTTTAGATTTTATAACTTATTTTAAGTGTTATAGATATGTATATACTCCATCCCACACGATGTTTTGCTTTTTTTATCATCGTGCTTACAACAATGATGATTTTGAAAGTTTTAGAAAGACTCCAAAGTTTTGGGTATGTTTGTTTGTTTGTTTGTTTGTTTTTTGGTCTTTTTGCAGTCTACACTGAAGATAATGATGACGATGATGATGATGATGATGATGATGATGATGATGATGATGATGATGATGATGATGATGATTTTGCATTTTGTTATAATTTTTAGATAGATTTTATAATTTATGTCACGGTGCTATAAATATTGATATTCTCCATTCCACACAATGTTTTGCTTTTTTTATCATTGTGCCTTCTACAAACAATGATGATTTTGAAAATTCTAGTCTCCACCGTTTTTTTGTGTGTTTTTTTGTTGTTTTTTTTGTTTGGGTTTTTTTT